TTTGCTGGTTAGCGGGGGCTGGGGGAGGTGGGGGGGGGGGGAGTGGAACAAAGCCCACCTCACCTCGCAAACCCCATCCAGGTACCCAAGATGGGATAGTGGGAGGATTGAGGCCAGGCCCACAAGACAAGGGGACTCCATTGCACTGCCCCCTCCAGCTCAGGCCAGGCAAGCCGTGCTTCCTCTTTTCTGCTTTATCTGGCCTAAGCTAAGTGGGGAGGGGAGGGGAGGGAGGTGGGGGTGGAACAGAGTCCCTTCACCTCATGGGACCAGCCCGGATCCTCTACCAGGGTACCTGAAGGAGGGAGCTATGAGGCGGGAAGGCTGCGTCTCCCCTCCCCCTCTCCAGCTCCAGCCAGGCAGCAAACTCTGGATGGCAGCTCCTCCCTCTGCCTCCCCCTCCCCACACTGCCCCAGAGCTGGGGGGGTGGGGTGCTGGGAAGAGGGGCAGTTCATCTGCCTCCTCGGAGGCTGCTGGAGCACCCCTGTCTGCTGGCCAGGAGGGCCAGTGCAAATAGGCTCGATCCCCGGACCCAACAGGCAAATGTCTTGGATCAGGCAAGCGCTCTAGTTCACACCATTTTATGTAAAGCACCATGAGTTACAGTGGGACTCCGAATATTCCTACAGAAATAGTAATTATAATAAATTATTATTGTTCCTGACATGATAAAAGCAAAGAGGGCAATGTATTACATGACAGAAGAGTATTATGTACATATTTTAGATTCTACGAACTGCTTGGGACCTTTTTCCCCTGCTACATCCTACTTCACATTCCACACAAAATTGTCTTTCTGTGTGTCACTGTGAAGTTAAAAATAAGTAGTGAAGCATTACCCATCAGAAAGTAGGACCCAGGACAAGCCACTTGAGGAAAGAGTCTGTGATGGTCACAATATTAAATAAAATTAACAAACTGAAGGAAATGCAATTACTTACAACATTAAAAATGGCGATAATCAGCAAGGCACCAACAGTGATGACGGTTAATGGGAGTCTCACTAGAGGCATTGTTTCCACCATCTCAGAAACAGCAGAAAGGGGCCTCAAAGAAGGCCATCGTTCTGAGCAACACCCCTGTAAATGAAATGAATGTCTCAGTCAGCTGCATGACACAGACATTAGTGCTCTGACAGTTACTGCAAAAAAATACTCTGTCCCTTGCACAAACTAAGGTCTAAAGACAATCACTGGAGCATCACAAGTGCGTTACCTCCATTTCTATTGAGAGTGATTTTGTTCTCTAATGATCACAGCAAGAGAGCAAGAGCTGAGATGCTTGAACTCCCATCTGTGCAACTAACTCACTCTGAGATACTGGACAAGCCAGAACTACACCTTTGATTTCCGCATCTGTAAAATGGAGGTAACATTTTTTTACTTCCAAGAGTAGGGTTTTAACACCTATAGAATTTCTACCACACTACATACTGCGATAGCATCCAACGGGAGCCATTACCGAAACATTATAAAAAAGTTACGCTAAATTACAATTCTTGCTAAATTGAAAAATAGACTTTAAAGATTCACACAAATTACAACATACCAACCCCGCCCCTCCCTCCCCCCAAAACCCTCCTCCATTTCCTGATATAGGAAGAAATATTTGCTAAACATATATTCATTTAAGAGAGCAAGCATACTAATTGAATATAAACATATTGTTCAGGGACTCTGAATCCAAACAGTCCTGAGGTTAAAATTAAACTGAATGCAATGTCAGTTTTAGAACTTTCTTTTTCCTACCACCATGTGGCTCAATACACCAAATAATACACCAAATACGGAATTCAAGAAAGCTTTGTTACTGAATCCTCTAAAAAGATTACTATTCAT